GGAAAACTTCTTCCTCACCAAGTATGCAATAACATGGAACAGTCTTCCCTCCGAGACTCGCATGGCAGATGAACTACATACGTTTGTGAAACTGCTTGATCAAGCCCTCACTCGCACTGATCTTGCACGTACGAACACATCAGCGCCCCACTCAGACATCATAGGCTCTCTCCATGTCTAGACCAAAATTGACTTCAAGTTCAGTTTGCCTTATTTTTCCTACTTTGCAGTTGTATTAATTACTTTTTCCACCCCATTTCTTCACTTGAAGTAGACAGGTAACTCACTGGACCTATCATTACTGTTAAACTAAACTCGGTCGATAAGGGACACTCACTACCACTCTCAGAAAGTCAAGAGGACCGCACAATCGACTGCCTACTACCAGTGGTCTTGCATCTATGGAACCTGTTACCAATCAACTGGTTAAGACAACAGAAAATAACATCAGCACCAAGTTACTGTGAGTTCCTTCCTGTTTATCCTATATTAACTTTTTACTCTTCTGTACACAATGTTGACTAGCAATTAATATTATTTCTCCACTCGTTCCCTTATCCACAACTCATACTTCTATACTTTTTCCGCCTGCTTAAATAAACAACTATCCTACAATATACCCTTCTTAACGCTTATACTCTGTTTGGCAAACTATACTTTATACTATAGTCAACAGAGGCACTGCATCGATGCTTTACCCACAGTCCACAGCTTGTAACTGCCTGATAAGCTTGTAAAATGGTACTTATAGAAATAGTGCTTTCCAACAAGTTGTGAAACAGAGGATTGTGTGAGGTATGACGTATATACAAAAATAAGCTTAAATGAGCCTAACATCACAAAAGGAGGGAGGGTGGAGTTACTGACCAGCAAGCATTGATGGTGAGGGCGATAACTTCAATCCACCCGTGTTTGTGGGGACAGAACATTTTGTATGTATCAGGCTCTTTATAATTGAGAATAAGACAGTCAATCTAAGATATAGATTGTCTTCCTACGCTCACCACTCAGACTCATGTTTCCAATAATATGCTGGATTAGCTATTCTACTAAGACAACCTATAACATGCTAACTCGGACTTTTACACTGAGATTGCGTGGCTGACATCGGGTGGACAAAAAAAGAAAAGAAAAAAGACAATAAAAGATATAGTCACTAGTATTCTTAACACTTCACCCTATATATACACACCCTTCTAATAAACCGCTTCCCTTGTACCAACCTTGACTTCCCATCCTTCATGTGAGCTTACTCCAACTTGTTAAACATCACTACTCGTTGTTCTTTATTAGTACATTCTCTAATATGGAGCCTCTGACTTCACTTCACTCTAACAAGACATAATATGAATTTATTCTAATTTATTATACCTCTGTCCGTTCTACTACACAATGTTAAGCAACCTTTGGCGTTCATATCCAAGTGCCTTGCTGCTCCTCTGTTTCTTTTTTTTCTCCTTCAGAATCTTGCTCTGAGAGCACAGCTATGAAACTTCTGACGTTTGGAGCAAACTTAACGTACGCGTCCTCTCAAGGTCATAGTTTACAGCAAGCGCTCTACGATTTCACTTTACAACAACTATAAACTTAATAAGTTGGGAAGCATTTTGCGAACCAACAAATGTTGTAATTTATAGATCATGCCTGTAAAAACGGTGTGTACCTGCACATGCAGAAATATATTATTATATTATATATTATATTATAAAAAATATGTTGTTCCTTCAGTTATAAGGCTTTTTCTGGTAGTTTTGTGATAGTGTGTGTAAGTTCCTTCGCGTACACGCTTTGGTACTGCAGATTGTTGCTTTACTTCTTTATGTGAATTTATTCTTCCTGATCTCTTCAGCTTAAAGTTGCCACAAATATTCGGAGTTTGAAAACTCCTTAACCTGTAACAACTTTTATAATCGAAATATGACAACCCAGTCAAATCAGAAGTCAGTAGCAAAAAGTCTTGAAGACATATTTAATAGGCAATCGATTGTTTGGGAAGTAATCGATCTAAGCTGACAAGTGGCTGTAAGAAATGTGAGTCACGGCGTGCCTACTCGTGATCTCGTGCAGATGCGTGACCGAGCGCCATCAATTTGGTGAGCTTAGTTAAACTGATGTGGTCAGCATAAAATGTCGAAGACTTATAGAGCTATTGAATCTGGGGATTTGTTTATTACTACAATTTGTACCTTCCAATAGTCTTCTGATTCTGGGTAAGACAGTCACTGTCTAATTTTTATTGCGGTTTTTGTTCTTCTCAAGTTTTTACTGAATTCAAATGCGTTAGCGAGATATAGACTGGATTAAAACCAGAGCTAGTGGATTCTCGAGAAGGACTTCGAAATCGTATTATGTCAAAGTTATAAATATACTGACGTTTTTGTCATTGTGATTCCTCGTCCCATCCGACGTTTTTACTTGGAATATAAATAAATTCCTGTCCTTTCCTATTCTAACATTTGGATTTGTCGAGTGAAGTAGTTTCCAAGGATACTAAGCAACAAGAGTAGCGGGGTCAGATAAGTGTTCGGTTATGTTACATTTTAAGCTGATGATGTATATTTTTAGCTCGATATTGGAATGTTGTGTTTGTTGTGACCCAGCCAACGTTGTTGTCATATAAGGTCACCACCATGAAATATGAGACATCAACATCAGGATTATCCACAATTTGCATATTTTTGTGTCCAATTAGCTATTCATAATTGAGGGACTAAATCACCCGGGACTAAATTTTCATCACAGGAACCATGGCTCATCGGCATGATAAATATTCATGACATTTCAAATAATGACTATAAGACGAACCGTCTGCTTCTGTCAGTAAGCAGAAGCTATAATTCATGGAAAGTTTCAAGAAGGGAGTAGAGCTGCAGATCATCTAATACAGACGAATAAATACAACTAAAAGGTATGGGGAATTATGAGGTTCCTGCAGACCAGTTGAATCAAAATATTCAAGATGATTGAACTACCACTTACAACTTGTGGTTTAAACAAGCCGACTAACTTGGAGATTTATGTTGTCAATAAGCTGTGGAGGCCTTACTAGCCAAAAAATGATAATACCTAACTCCTTTTTCGATAAATAATTAAACTAAACATATCGTCAAAAATCAAACCATAAGTGTGTGTATGGTCTAAGCAAATCTAGGGTGATAAAAGTGGGGTATTCACCGTAGACACAGTACCTCTAAAAACAATGAGAACAATCCATTTTTAGATTTTTGGGAGAGAGGGGAGATAAAGCCCATTCCATCACAAATCGATCTTTTTACTCGACACTGTCGAAGTTATCGAAATTTTAACCAACTTCCTGATGACGGTTCACATTGGAAATAACAGAGAATTTCAGATACCGTGTAAGTTCTGTATGGGACGGCTATACAATATGATGTGACCAGAAAGTGTAGGCACACACGCTGTTTGTGTGTTTAGCCGCAAAGTGACGTTGGAACCACTGTTTTCTCGTCATTTCGACGTTACTATGTACCTTCTATTTTATTTTTCACACATATTTATCTTTATTACCATTTTAGCCCAAACCATATTTTATATTACTTTGAACCAATTATATTTCTCTCCCGTATTGATTCAAAACACCCACTTGTTTAAACAGCTTTTCCTCCTCCATATCAATGAATTACCGAGACTGCCTAAATCGTCGACATTATTGTTTGCGGATGATGTCAAGTGAAGTGGGGCTGATCATTTTGAACTTCAAACTGACCTAATTGAGTAAGTTAGATGGTCTGAATTTTGAAGCTTAGGAATCAGTAATAGAAAGAGAGTGCTCATACACATCGGGCTGCGTAACAGTTATTAGTATACTATCGATGGTACGCCTGTTTCATGTGTTCAGGAACATAACGACTTAGGGGTTATAGTAATTCACAACTCGAAAACAACTACTCATTGCAGCGCAGCAGCTAACAAAGGGTTTCGTGCGTTATGGTCACTTCGCCGAGCATTCAAATTTTAGTGATGCCATGATCTCTTTCTGATTCGGTTGTATGGTCAAAACTGCAGTGTTTATCGAATGAGCCGGATTCTCTGAGTTTTTTCGTCGAAAGAATGAAGTGCAGAAGGTTTATCAACGACATATTTTGCTGCGTTAGGTTCGTCGTCGGCCTGCTCACCGCTTTATTGGGGCCTATGATCTGACTCCAGTTGTATCGTTTTTGATTGCTATTGAAACATACATATAGTCAATCCTAGTATAATATTATCGAATTAACTCGCGTTAATGCATAACAGAATTAAATAAGTTGAATGCGAGAATGAAGTTTTGAATACGTATATTTTATACACTCATCTAGACAGACATTCAGAGGAACGTAACTAAGAAAGAGAAGAGAGTGAATCGAAATAACGTGGAGTGGAGAAGGAATGTGAGCCAACTTCATTTAATAAAGCCTTGATCAATATTTATAGCCGAAAAAAATAAGTTACAGACATGTGATGAGTAGGGTAGGAAAGGAACATACAAACGCTTACATAAATTGTCAGTAAGGCCACACTTAGAGTACTGTATCCAAGCGGCTAGTCCATGTCAAATTAGGATACCAACTCACTTGAGCGTGTTCAGCATGTGAAAAAAATTTTGTTGAGGTCTTTTCCAAAATCCCATACTACGAGCGCTTAAGACGCCTAAACCTTTTGCTCTTGTCGTATCGAATAACGCAAAGTGACCCTTTACTGGCATTCCGTATCTTCGACTACGATTTGGATGATGATAAGTCGAATCTTTTTGTCTCCCTCCAGCGCTGATAATCTTGGGGGTCATAGCAAGGAGGTTCAAAAACCGAGATCTAATAAACTCAGAGTGGGGTTCCATTTTTCTCATCGAGTGTTCAACGCCCTACCTGAACTAGCACTATCAGCCCCATTACTAAACATTTTTGAGGAGAAGCTGGACTTTCACTGAAGAAAAAACGGTAGGGATTAACACAAGTCCACCCATCTGCTGTCTTTATAACTGATGACAATGGATATTGCATATTGAAACCGAATGTAGCGGTCATTCAAGGTACTCGTTGACCTTGAGTTTCTGCAATTGTTGTTGAGATCTCAGGTCTAGTAATAATATTGTTTGATTTGAATTGAAGATTTCCTATTTTAGTCATATTTTGACAAAACCTGTAAGTCATTTGGTGTTGAAATTATTTGTTAGTGACACAAATACCATTTTAAGGAATATAATTTCACTACTTATATAGATATTTAGTGGATGGTTTTTTAGTCATCATGATAGTCATTTTCCTTGAGTTAGAACTCATCCCTAACAACCAGTTACGAGAGCAAATTGGTGTGTCATCAATCCGCAGGTGTTGCTCAAATTCTAGTACATAAACCTCCATATTTGGTCAAAATGTTGCATTTTTTTAAAAAGTATAAATCTATTTACATTTTTTGAGCAGATTAATTTCAATAACATATTCAACATTAGTGATAAGTTCCCCCTTATTTCTCTATATAGATCCTTCCTATTGTTCTGGGATTATTTTGCATTTTTTCAACTGTATACAACTGATCATAATTATTCTTGGATAACAGTCAAGTTAACCTCTTAATTTGGAAAGTACGACTTAATGGACGATCTTCAAAACGCTGTTTTCCTTATGGCGACAAAATTGTCTGTACATAACTCAAAGCCACTATGTAATGCAGAAGTTGTCACTGTTCGTTGTCGTCATGTTGTGAAGCACATTCCTAGACGGTATGTTATGGCATATATCTTATCATTAGCACAAAAGCAATGCTTGAATCTGTAAGTTATTTTTTATTTAGTTTTTCTTACTACTATTGACTTTTAGTGAGAAAGAAAGTTTTTCGTTTTTGAGCTATGTTCCAGAAGTGTGGACAAGCCTAGTTGATGTTATTAGATCTATGAATTCCGGTAAGTTATAAAACATTTGTTTACTTTTAAATGGCCTTTTAAGTGTTAATTAATTTGGAAATTTTCACGGATTAAATAATCACTGATAGGTATACTTAAATATCAAACCTTGCTTTATTCTTATCAAGCAATAAAATTTTCAACATCGATTTCTTATTACAACAAAACCCTGTTTGAAAAGTTAATTTTTCTAACAATGACTGTAAAGCATGCTATTCTTAAGTTAATTTGTTCACATTTGTATTTGGAGTTTTATTATCCCACAATTTTCAATTTATATATGTTTCTTTCATTTTTATATCTATTTAAATTCTGCACATTAATAAACAGATGTTACTTACTTACTTACGCCTGTTACTCCTAATGGAGCATAGGCCGCAGACCAGCCTTCTCCAACCCACTCTGTCCTCAGCCTTCTTTTCTAGCTCCATCCAATTCTTGTTCATTTTTCTCATGTCTATTTCCATTTCTCGGCGTAATGTGTTCTTTGGTCTTCCTCTTTTCCTTTGACCTTCAGGATTCCATGTGAGGGCTTGTCTTGTGACGCAGTTAGGTGCTTTCCTCATTGTGTGTCTTATCCACTTCCAGCGCTTCTTCCTGATTTCTTCCTCCACTGGGATCTGGTTTGTTCTCTCCCACAGTTGGTCGTTGCTAATAGTGTCCGGCCAACGGATCCGAAGTATTTTGCGTAGACAACTGTTAATAAACACTTGTATCTTCTGAATGATGGCTTTCGTAGTTCTCCAGGTTTCCGCCCCATACAGTAGAACTGTCTTGACATTTGTATTGAAAATCCTGACCTTGGTGTTGGTTGATAGTTGCTTTGAGTTCCAGATGTTCTTTAGTTGTAAATACGCTGCTCTTGCTTTGCCGATCCGCGCCTTCACATCTGCATCAGATCCACCGTGTTCATCAATGATGTTGCCCAAATATGTAAATGTTTTTACATCTTCCAAATCTTCTCCGTCAATTGTGATTGGATTGTTGCATGCTGTGTTGTATCGGATAATCTTGCTTTTCTCTTTGTGTATATTAAGACCTACTGTTGTTGAAGCTGCTTCTACACTGGTCCTCTTCTCTTGCATTTGTTGTTGCGTGTGCGTCAGAAGAGCCAGATCGTCTGCGAAGTTTACCTGCATCCTAGATGTCCGTTGTGTCCCATGCTTCTCCGTAGATGTTGACGTCTTCATGATCCAGTCGATCACCAGGGGCAAGAGAAAGGGTGAGTGTAAGCAACCTTGCCTGACACCGGTCTTCACTTCGAACGATTTTGTCAACTGTCCAACATGCACGATTTTTCAGTTTAATCCATCATATGAATTCTGTATGATATTGACTATTTTCTGAGGCACTCCGTAGTGTCGAAGAAGTTTCCATAGTGTTGTTCTGTCCACGCTATCAAATGCCTTTTCGTAGTCAATGAAGTTGATGTAGAGTGATGAATTCCATTCAATTAATTGTTCCACAATGATCCGTAGAGTTGCGATTTGGTCTGTACACGATCTATCTTTACGGAATCCTGCCTGTTGGTCACAAAGTTGGGCGTCTACGCAGTCCTTCATCCTGTTTAACAATACCCTGTTGAAGACTTTTCCCGGTATTGAGAGAAGAGTGATGCTCCTGTAGTTATCACAGTTGCTGAGATCACCTTTCTTCGGTATTTTGATCAGGAGTCCTTCTTTCCAGTCTTTTGGTACTTTTTCCTCATCCCAAATCTTATTGAAGAGAATTTGGAGTATCCTTGTAGTTGCCGATACGTCTGCTTTTAGTGCCTCTGTTGGAATGTTGTCTGGTCCTGCCGTTTTGCCACTCTTGATTTATCTGACGGTCATGCAGATTCCTTGTTGGTGGGCCCACATCGATTGGGAGGTCCGTGGGTGCTGTTTCAATGTTGGGTGGGTTCAGTGGGGCTGGTCGATTCAAGAGTTCTTTGAAGTGTTCTACCCACCTGTTTTGCTGTTCTCCAATGTTGGTGATTACCTTGCCTTCCTTGCTTTTCACTGGTAGTTCTGGTTTACGGTAATTTCCGGCAAGTTTCTTTGTCTTGTCATACAGTTGTCTCATGTTTCCTTCTCTTGCAGCCTTTTTCACCGTCGTTGTCAGATCTTCCACATATTTACGTATGTCGGTTCTGATGCTCCTCTTCACTTGTTTGTTAACTTCTGTGTATTCAGCTTGTGCCTTGGCTTTTTCTGCTCTTGTTCGACTGGTATTGATTGCTGCCTTCCTGTTCCTTCTTTCTTGAATCTTATCCCGTGTATCAATAGTGATCCATTCCTTGTGATGGTGCTTCTTGTGACCCAGGACCTCATGACATGTTGAAGTGATTGCCTCTTTGATCCCATTCCAGTTGCTCTCCATAGTAGTTCCTTCTCCATTGAGTAGATCATGAAAGGCATGGAACTTATTGCTGAGGACTATCTAGAGTTTGTTGAGTTTGTCAGTATCCTGAAGAAAGGCCGTATTGAACTTTTGTGATGTTCGATCACATCAATAAGAATAATAATTGGAAAAAGGTATAATAGGAATCACACTGGAAGAAAGTAGGGAATGACCCATTCGAAATTCTCACAGACATCGATGCTATTACTTCTGGAAATCTGTGTAATTAATGAAGAGGAACTTCACTGAAGGTGTGGTGAGCACAGAAAGCTCCTGAGTTCGTTTTTGTCGTTTTCTTGCTAAAAAAATAACGTAAATCTTTCAAACATTTCTGTGAGTTTTGCCTGTTTGGCATTAGCATCACGAGTTGTTGCAATTGATATTTATCAGGCTTATCTGTAATTTGTTTAGTAAGGTTCAAGATATTACATTTTAATTCCTACGAAACAATATTGACAAACTTCTTTAATACCTAAAGTCTTCTTTTCACATTCGGACTTACAATCGCGTTTGTGTATATTGTTTGTGAAATTCCTGATACTTCAGTTATACTTAGAGGTGAAGTAAGACACAAAGTTAAGTTACTAAATGCAGTTACTACCTGTTATTTTGTCTTGGGTGATTGTCACACTTGACTTCAAATATTAAGAGCTCTGGCTCAATCCTGACTTTTTTTAACTAAGTGGCAATGCTTATATTATATCTTATTGGGTATGGCTTATGGCCGGTTTGTGGATAAGGTTTATTCAATCCGTTTTTCAAGAAACCGTTACGTGGTCATCACCAAAAACGTTTTTCTATCACTTACGTTTTCATTATTTTGTTCTGCTGATCAATCGGTGGGTTTTGTGAACACAGTAAGATGAAAAATATCTCAGGGTCAATAAATTAGCTAAATCTCAGTCATTGACTATTTCATTTCTTGTTCCGATCCCTTTTTGTATCTATTAATTGAAGTCTTGATATCAATAGTCCAGACTTTGTATTATTCTTTCTGTCAGTCTGTACACTACTGTTTTTCTTAGCTTAGTAATGTACAGCAGCACAATTTGGACTAAGCTGGACCAATAAGCTAACTAATGAGAAATTAATCCTAAATCTTCATCGTCTACTGAAGTTGATGGGGTCGATTAAAGTCACCAGTCATCATCATCCGACAGGTGGCGCTTATGGCACACAACACAAACTTGATCGATTTTTCTGAAATTCTATTCAATAATTTTAATATAAGATATTTAGGTCGCTTCTAAAATTAATAATTAACTTAAATATTTATTTAGAAATTAACGAATACTTTCTGACTATCCTCCAGTAATAATATCAATACTAATAATAATAAAGTTTGTTCCAGGTTAGATAATTCGGTTTTCGTGCTAATTAAGTAGCGGTTGTCGATAGAACCCATAACGTATGACTTATCATTTTAAAGGTAGTTATCCAAATCTTCGATTTAAACATGTATTGATGCATCCCAATTGGAATATACATCTAGAAATAATTGTATCTTGTGACGAGTTGGCTTTTGAAATGTCCTTTTGTATTCCGTGCCTCTAAGCGTCAACAATAAGAATATACAAACCCTTACGAATCTTATTATCATCGTTCATAGTTAGTGGCCTAGTCTACAATGTTACAAATTGTTGGTTATCGAGTTTAGCAAACCAATTCTCTTTGGTTATTGAGATGGACTGTTTATACAGGTATCTCACTCATCATGCCCTTATATAATATGAAGACAATAAATGACCGATTAGGTTTTACAAAGTAAATAATGTGTCATGTGAACAGGTTTCGAATTATTCGAAGTGTTAAGAGATAGTTTTTATTTTTGAGGAGATAAAAGGACTCGAATCTCGACTGTTATACAGAAGGTTGGGACCCTGCCTCAACTGCTACTTCATTAATCAAGGGTCAAGTGACATCCACTAACCACCACATCAATGTATATATGACTGTAATTTTTTACGTAAACTTGTCCCTTTTATTCCGTCACCACAATTTTATTACTGTCAAAATTGTTTAGCTTGGTGAAGTCGCTGACAAGATCTAGAGTTTTTTGGTCTTTTTGAGCAACAGTATGAGCATTTTCAGGATACACTTTTCTCCCTGCAAATTCAAAATATTTCTTCAGTACTGGTGTGCGTCGATCCCTAACCCAGTGATATGGAGTAAATTAGTTGAGTGTATTGACTGTTTCACTATCATTGGAAGTCTCAGTCCTGGTGGGTTGGTACTTGATGAAGTCTCGACACGGAGTCAGAAATCCCGGTTAGTGTTTGCTAACTTGCGTTATTGATGACGTGGCTAGAAGCGGCCAAACCGAAGCATGGCATCAGTCCTCTAAGCCACTGACTGTTGGCCTGAGCTATTTTTGTATATGCAGATAACTTGATCCGAGTCCTCATAGTAACCACACTCAGTGGTTGGAGACTTTAAGTGACATGGGTCAGAGTCGGTCATAGTGACACAGATGCATTTACTCTTTATTTTTCACTCGATCTTGAATTCTAATATTCCTTCATACCTACCTTTTCATTCCGTCTTTTGGAACCATATTTTCAATATTTAGTTTTTCTCATTATCATTGTTATCACATTATTTCAACTCCTTCATCACGTTAATTTCATCTCGTCGTGTTGTCGTAGTACGGGAACTTGGGGTAAATTACGTTTTTGTTTATCTCTATGTTGATGATTACTAACCGACTTCATCATTCCTCATGTGCACATAAATTTTATTTGGTTAGCTTATCCTCCTTGTCAACAACTTTGAGTGCATATTTAGTGTTTCGTATTATATCAATATTCTCAATGTTTTTTACGTAGTATTACAATTAATTATCTCTGTTTATTTCCTTTTTTCTTCATTTATTGCTCGGTGTCTTTCACCTTTCGTCTCACCCGAACCAACTAATAATTACAATTAGATAATTATGATTTTGGTTATATACAAACAGTCGCTTTAGAATCATTGAAGAAAGCTATTAAGCTATGTCATGATACAATAGACAAAACATTATGTCAATATTATTATTCACGTGCTTCACTGAATTCATTAAATTTATTATTGGATACACATTCAATTGTGAACAGACGTAGACGTCAAGAAGATCGTTGGTTTGCTGTTGCGGATTTACTGTCTTATGTTCCCTCGTATAAAAGCCATGTAAGCATACTAATGAATGAGTACTTTTTAAAATCGCCAATTGTTGTCATTACTGTTATGAATTCAACTTTTTATATACCTACTAAGTATGCCCGTGCATTAAAATCACTCAATTATAGTCGACATTAACGAGGAGTTGGGTTTTCTCCAACAAGATCAGTGACCTTTACTTGATTCGAATGATCAACAACTACTTGACATCCTGACTCCTACTAGTTCATGCGGTTCCTTCTATCCCCGATGATGAGTCTGGACAGAAAAGCAAACAATTGATTTACTCTCTATAACTGTATTGTTCCATGACTCAAAAATTCACATCATATTATTGACTAATTATAAGATCATGCCACAAATAAGAAATTATGATTTGTATATATTTAAGTTATTTATGATACAAATTTGTGTATTAGGTAAATAATCAATTAATGGTAGAATATACATCAACAGTTAGTAAGTTAACTGAAAGCTTACAATTAGAAATATTGGTAATTATTTTCTGCAGAATAATTCTAAAAGTTCCAACTTGCTCAACTATTCTCTCATATTAAACAATTACATTCTAGTAAGTAGCTAATTATATACAATCGTGCTACTGTTTTCAGTTTCTGGACTAAGCAAACCATATTTCAACACAGTAAAACTTAATGTACTTGACTTTCAGCTACAATTTTGTATCTGAGCGCCAGTGATGGTACTTGGATTCACAAAGTGCAAAGTAAGTAGGATGTAGTAGTGAGTTATTAAGCTGTGTGATTTAGTGATTGTGAATGTCAGGTGTTTTAGTCATTCTAGATATTATTTCACATATGGGTTACAGTGTAGATGCATTGACTTTTCAACCACTGATTTCGATTTAGTTATTTGAAGTTCAATCGATTCCTAAATGAATATATCACAGAGAACAACCAAATCACAGTTATGTATATAAATGTGTAATAAATTGCAAGTATTTATTTTTTTAAAAATTCACATTTAGTTTACTGTTTCACGGAAACATACTTCATGATCTATAGTCGTCCATTAAAGAATGTTTTATAAGTTTCCACTATTGATAATTCTCAAGTGTAGACGGAACAGCTATAAAAAAATAATTCCAAAGCTCAATGAAAGCGATCCTATCAAAATTCTCGATTGATCTCGATTTCAATCTTAATATAGATAATTGAGAGCTAGCTATAAAACCAAGCGAATTTTGTCTGACCAATTTGTTGAAAATAAAAAAAATACAAAAAAATTTATTGCATGTTCATATCTTTCTTATGATCTATCAGCTGATCGATAACTAAATAAGTGGCTCAGTTAGTTTCATTCCCTTCAGTTATAAGACATAGTAAATGGTAACTTGTTGTTTAATGTGTGAAAGTAATTTCTGTCACAATCGGTTGGAAACTGGAGATTATTGAATAATTCTTTAGTCCTGAGTCGTGACTCTTCAATAGTGTCTACTCATGGGCCCTTACAAACAATCGGGTACAGAGCCTTTAGGCCTTATGGCGGGCAGGATACTTCAGACTGTGAAACTAGCTGATAAGAGTTCGAATTTTACAGGGAACGTCAATTTCTCACAAGAATACTGGTGCGCCCTGCTGACAAGTGCAAATTAAGATGAAATTTAGGTCCAGGATTTCATGTTGACTACCTCCAATCACCCAACATACATTCAGATCATTGAGCTGGAATATAATAGTTTACAGTTTTTCGTGGTATGACACGACCATTATTCAATAGTTTCAGCATGGTTGGTTCCATGATCTGCAGTTTTATGCTCTTTAGAGATGCATAGATTTCCTAGATGTTTATTCTCTATGTTAAAAGATTTATTAATCCACTTAAATGTAGTTTCATTTGATATGGTTTCATTTAATCATTCAGGGAAGTATTTTTACACATGAACCCATTTACGACTTATATGTAAACAACTTGGTAAGTATGATCTCGTAAACAATTAGCTTCCGATTGAAATTGTAGAAAAAATGCAAACTATTTTGTTAATAGGGTAACCATTGTTTTGATTGTTAAAAATTTTGTCTAAGGAAGTATTTTCGAAAAATCCTTCAATAATTAGGGATAATCCAGCTAAAAATATGTGTAAAGTAAACGTTTATTGATTTTGTTAGGATTCCTTAATTAGATATTAGGTTGAAAGTGTTGTGAAATAAGATCACGTAACATGTTGATAGATGGATAGATAGACAGATAGGTGCAACAATATAAAATCTTATTCAGTTAGCTGAGGAATTCCTAATGATATTCCTACTGAGATTCAAACTCATTATTCATAGTTTTAAATGTTAGACTTTGGTCTACCAGACTAAAGTTACAATAATCAAAATTTGTTACATAGATATGATATATTATTGGTTTCTTGAAGATCAGAATTTTCCATTTGTTTATTTTCATATTGAATTGATCAATCTCTATTAACTAGTTACAAGTACGATAAGAATAGCTCTCCCTGAATCCATTTGTTAAGCTGTCAAAACGTTATCATTATATGAATGTAAACAGTTTGCAAACATTTGAATAGGAAGGCTTCTAATCCTCCTTATTCGTTTTACCATTCATAAGAAATAATCAGTTTTCATGATTGGCTAAGACATCCAGTCATCTGATGTAACAGTGAATACCTTCTTTTGACAAATACAAATCATATCAGAAAGGGTTTTGTGGATATTAATCAACATATACTCACTAGTGACTGGCTTCAAGAGGTATTACATAGAGTTCTAGTGAGAAGCAGTGACCAGTGGAGTTCAACCAGGTCTGTTGTGAGATAGTAACTCACTGATGACAATGGTGGGTGTGTGACTCGATTTCGTGGATTAGTTGGAGTTAGACGTTAACACTGTTGGATGCCGGCCGACTCAGTGGTCTAGTGGTTAAGCGCTCGCGCGCGAGACTGTTAGGTCCTGGGTTGGAATTTCGAAAGACAGGGTCGTTGATGCGCACTGCTGAGGAGTCCCACAATCGGACGAAACGACCATCCAGTGCCTCCAGGTTTTCCATGGTAGTCTAGCTTCAACTGACTCATGATCTCAATCATTGAAAATACAAATAACATATTCCTGTGGACTGTAAAGCTAGTTTTGTATAAACATGTGTGTACGTTAAAATTGCGGAATTGAGGATGATGACACAATTGGTTGACTTTAAATACCGGTTGATTCGTATACAGTGAAGTAGTTGATGATATTCAAGTCTATTCTCCAAACTCATCGGAAACGTTGCATGAAAATAAAAACGAGCTTCCAATTGACAAAAGCTTGTTAAATGGAGAAAGTTCATTGCGATCACTAAAAAACTGTGTGCGAGAGACAATCTAACAACTATCATGTCTTGACCTACGCCTGCTCTCTCCTAAATACATCTATTTCGGAACTTTTCAACTCACACCAAAAGTATCATGTTCTTCAGTTAACATTTTATACCTTAATCATGTTTAGGAAATATTTCATCTAAAATTTATTGTTTTTTTTAACACTAACAAAGCATTCTATGCTATAAATGAAATGTCTGTACGACACTTTTAAGCTTTCAATTATTTTGAATGCATTTTCTTTCCTTCCATTTTAAACAACATTAAATATTACTATGTAGGGTTTGTGAAGACGGTCATTTTTCGTAGTTTAGATAACGAATTGACAACAGTCACACAATCATTGATAACCAGGGAACACTAGACATTTGTTCTATACTTGTGCAGGACTCCTCATCAGTACACATCCAAGACCCTACCAATAATCCAACTCAGGACCTTCAAGTCTCGCGACAAGTGCTTAACCTTCAGATCACTGAGTTGCCATCCAGTCGTTTACATACCTAGGTCTAATCAACTCACGATATCAGTTTACTGCTCATCGTTTAACAGGGAACTTAACAAATCTGCCAAAAATTAGTGATTTTCAATTCTATTCATCACTTAGTATAGTTTTCATCTATTTTCTTTTTGCTTGATTTTCTTTAACTTTACACAGATTGACCAATCATATCTTACAGATTTTTCACCAATCACGGCATTCGGTATTTTCGATGGTCATAATGGTCCAGAAGTGGCTGAACACTGTTCTCACCTTACACCGTATTTACTTAGTTTAGAGTTACAACGACATATTTTATCATCGTCATCTAGTATTAATCGTAATTATTCTAAATGTATACCAGATATATTAGCCGAAATCTTTCATCGATTGAATAAATCAGTCAACAGTGGAAGAGCACAAAAGGTAATAATAGAATACACTTTTCGCTTAACAAATATATGTATATATATGTTGTTTCAGTGCTTATTTTTGTATAAATATCGGTACATTTTTTCTTACTGTGATATATGTGTCGTTCTATAAAAGTTTGTGTGTATGCGCACGAGAAAAAGAGACTAATGTATGCATTATGTTGCCATTAATGTGTGAAACAAATGAATAAATATTGTCTTGTTCAATAGAGCAATAGTGTCGTTGTACAGAAGTGTCCATTCATTCCAGTTCATCTCCTTGTTTTTTTCATAACTAACATTAAGAGAGAGAGAGAGAAAAATCGTATCCGACTTTATAAATAAATTGGATCAAACAGATATGTTGTATGATCTAAGAAAGCAAATATAAAATATATAGTTAACAAAACTAAAGTGAATAATGTTAAAAGTAGGTGAAGTATTTGGAATCAGTGTTTTCAGTTTTTCTTGTCACGATAGCTTCCTTATTATTTGGTGAATAACAAGTATGTAAAGACTACTTATATATATTGTGTCTTGAGATTGATTCAATTAGATCTACAGTAATTGTCTAATCACGAACGATCGAGATCCTCATAATACATAACTGTGTTCTATAGCGGACTCGGTAGAATGGCAACTGACACATAGTGTCAGCAGTAATCCTCAAACAACGGGACCCAAGAAGACAGGTATGCAGAAAAAGCTTGATAGTCAACGAGGACAAAATTGAAGTAAAATAATTCTGTGCATTTAGCAGCAGAACATGGGACATAGGAAAATTAGTAAACTGAAGGCGATAACGGCCAATCAGAAACTGCAAAGGCCTAGCGGAAATATGGATTCGAAAAAATGTACTCTGTCTATCATTACAAGAAATAAGTAACATCTATTTACAAATGACTTGATAACTTGAGGTTTTCCCAGCAATATCACTCTAAATCAAATCAGTCGGTGATATTCTTAATTAGTTGACGATTTCTTGACTTGTTCTTCGTCCAGCTTGTTCCACTTACTCATTTTTCTACATGGTTCGGACTAACAGTCATTTTATTCGTGGACCAATATTGTATTTCGGTCGAGTATCTCTGCCTTTCTTCCGATCTGATTCCATGACAAATAACGTAGCGTGTTAGGGTAGGTGGTTGGTAAATATTCATAATATATATGACCCAATAGTTTCAACCAATTAAAGTTTATACATACTCAATGGTTCCATCATACGTCATTATACATCCAAAGATACTTGTGGCCACTCACTAACAACTTAATCATATCTTCAATCCTCAATGGACATATTCCGCACCCGCAAAACAATAGAGAACAATATGGAACATCGTATTTTCACTCTGAAAATGGCATAAGTTGGTTATAAGTAAACCAATCTTCTGTATGACTCCTTGGGTTTTTATCAACTATTAGACCACTAGATTTTATAAGTTTCTTAGGGTAAGTGTAATAGTCAGTGGGATCAACTACTTCATCTTTGTTTGTTGTCAAATTAGACATCGACACAGATTAGCTGTGAAGCAGTGTTCATAGTTAATGAGTAATAAATTCTGATATCTTCAGCATTATCACTTAACAACATTGTATCATTTGTGTGTACCTAAAATCGATCAGCAAAATCTTCGAGTAAGCTTATTCAATCCTGTACATGTCGAATAACTTCAGTATAACTTTTCAAGGTGTAACTATGGGAAAAGTAAATAAAACTTGGCAATTACCTATTTCAAATATTCATCTTCTAATAGGTTACAATTCAATAACTGGTTTAATAAAATTGTTGTTGTTAGTAAATTCATACTCCCTCGAACTTCATCTATGTTATAGATATGTGATAATTTATTTATTATTACCTTTCTACTTTTCAATGTTTTTTTTTGGTTGATTTACACCATATCAGTGATTGAATACGACACTTTTATATTTATATTTCCAAAAGATTTCTAGTTCTCTTTCCCATGTTAAATAACTTTTTGTCACTATGTAATCAATATTTATCTCTCTTTGTTTTGTTAAGTAAGTATATAGCCGTTTTTGTTATAATGATCTTCTCTTGTGTCAAAAGCCTACCAATTAGTCATTCATTTATTCATTTAATTGAAAAGAGGGTTGTAGTGAACAAAAGTATTAAGCTTTGACTATATACAATGAAACATTTCTAACTTCGATTCTTTTAACATTGAATTTATCAATCATAATAAAAGTTATCCTCATTTATTACATAATGAAATCTTCATAAAAATAAATGATTATATCTTATAATCATTGACAATAAATTCTCTAATGTGTAATCTATCGTTTGATACTGCCCTCTTAACTTATATAGGTTTGATATTTTTAATCAAATGGTTGAATGATCAAATGATTGAGATGAATCAGTTATATACATCTCTGTCTCTCTCTCTCTCTTTCTCTCTGTATGCCTTTGTTTACGTAATTTAGTCACATTCAGATTTAGTCTGTGACGTTGTTTTCCAGAAAGAAAAAAAAAGAACCACATTTGTATTACTTATTAATTTTTTCATAAGCGCATATTGATGCATGAAAAATAAATGTACTCATAATATAATTTTAGTATGTCTGATATCATGCAAATTTATATATGTGTACCTTTAGTTATAAACATACATATACTACTCAATACATATACATAGACAATTGTATCAATATGCACATGTACAAAAAGAAGACATTTATGATTGAGTGATAACACAAGTTTTGTTTGTTTACATGACTTCATTTAAATCTATCACGAATCATCCTGTTCTCATTAGTTCTTCATTGTTCTCATCTAACTTGATTATTTCCAATTGATTATTATTATTATTATTAGTTTTGTTTATTTGTTACACTTCCACCTACATAGCATTACCATTTTTAGTTTGTACAAGTGTTTGTATTTTGCCATTGTTAATAATAAGACCTAGGATTGATTTGTTTCTATTAATATGTATGCATCCTGAGCAGATCACTTTGATATTACTATTTAATCACACGTTTTTACAAGATAATTGAAGTTGGATAATGGCTAATAGTGAATTCAACCACAACAACTGGATCACGTGCTTTAGTGATCTCTGGGCTTAATGTATCAGAGCTCACTTTTGTCCTTCTGTGTATACTAGGTATTGCCTTCTCAACCTTGATTGATAACAACAGGCTAACTGGAAACTAGTTAAACCGTTGCTCGAAAATTTCCACCCATATATATGGTGATTTTGTGGATATTTTTGTATGTTTTGAGGGTAAATTTCATCGACTCAATACCATGCTCCTCACAAACCTAAAATTTTTGGGTTGGATCCCATGAGATTTCTGAGTATGCACTACTGAGTACACACCGGTGTATATTCATAACAGAAACACGTATGTACGTGTTTGTGTGTGTTTATCACTTGACTACAGAAATGCAAATAGCAAAACAAGTGTCTAATAATGTCTAATTTAATTCTTGATTCTGAAGACGTGGTTATTTCACCTTTTAATGTGATTATCGTCACCACATTCTTCGTATTAGACAGAAACTCAAAAGAGGTGGGGAAGGAACGGAAATTACTTATTTTTGTAAATGATATCTAGAACGATTGTACATAGTTAACAGTTTTCTAATATGTCGGTATGTATATAAATATAAAGGCAGTACACAACTGAAATTTTGTTTTTCAATGAAGAAAGTTGTGTCTTTATAATGAAAATATCGTTTGCATGAAAAGTAATCGAGGTATGTTGTGTACACGTTTATGCATGTATGTATGGTCATTTGTGTATGTGTGTGTACGTCTGTATTTATTTTTGGATCATAGATATTTGTTGTATAGGATATTGTCTTGGCGGTATGCACATTTTATTATTTCATATTTTAGTGAATTGAACGTGTCTTCATTCTACTAGATACTGACTATATAAATGTACATACATATTTACGTTAGGTAGTACTAACATTGTTTTCTTAGTGTCTAGATACCTCTCGGTATGCAAAATAATTCTGTCTGTTATAGAGTGATCCCTTTTATTGTACTGAATAAAAGTTCAACCAGTTTATTGTTTAGCTCTTGCTGTGCATTGTCATTGTGATTTAAGTTACTGGACTGTCGGTTTCAGTTTCTATGTTTATTTGTGAGTAAAAAGCCATTATCAAGCGCTGACCTCGAGACTTGAATTCAGTCCCCATTGGGACCGTAGGTTCTCATTGTTGAGGAGTTCTACATTAAGGCTAAAGCTAGCTGATCAATGCTTCCTGATTTTTAATGGTTGTCTAACTAAGACCAATCCCTCATGTAAACTTACTAATGTGCATCAGTTCGAGTTTTTATTATAAAAAAAATTTAAACAGTACTTGGATGCTAAAACAGAGACTTAGAAGGATCACAACAAATAAAAAAGCATCTTGATGCTTAATTTAGGGCTGTCTCACTTCGAGTTTTCAGTATTTATATATTATTTAATTGCATAGTATTTATTAAAAACTATTCTTCACTCAACTATTGTCATATCAAGACAAGGATTGAAAGGGAACAATAAACTCGAAACGCTGAGATACATTAGTATAAGACACCAGGGTTTATTTAAAATGTACTTCAGAATATTCTAGCATCTTGATTTGTCCACTGGCTCTGATTATTGAAAAAGGGGCAAATCAACTCGTTTTGGCGTGAATCTGATCGGAGCATACAATAGTCAAAACTTCTTCCTGTTAATAAATAACCTTGACGTTTTTTTTATATATTTCAATTCCATTTCTACATACACAAAATGTGTGCTTTTAGTTAAATAATAATTTTATAAACGCATAATAATACACGTTATGATCACCTTATTTCATTGATATCCATAATCTAAAATTGAACTTCCATCTTTGTTGCCAGAATTTCATGGTTCACAATGATTCCATTGCACAAGAGTTTCTTTTCCTTCAAAATTATCTATCACAAAACTCATGTAACAATTCTGATACAACTCGAGGCAATCAGTCATAATTAAGTAAATGTATTCGTTCGTTATTTTCCTCTAATTATTGAATTTAGTACTGGTTAGCTGAATCACTCACACTCGAATAATACACACACACACACACAATATGGTATATTAATCAATTTATTCATATAAACAAATACTTTGAAATAAATGTGTCTCTATTCTTTCCATACTTATTCATTGAATCTTAGTTTTTCTGTTAACTTCACTCTGTGGTTATTCTTTGTTTGGTGTTGGTTTTATTCTGTAAGAAAATCAATAAATCTTTGTATTATATTTCCACTGTAACAGCTTTGTAATTGACAGCTTAGATAAAGATAGTACTTAAATGTGTGTGAGAGTTTATGTTTGTGTGTGCCCACTTGTATGGGAAAAACGGGGACAGGCCAAGATGATTCTTCCTTTTTTTTAAATCTCATAGATGCTTTCTCGAAATGTTTGCAACATTGTTCGATGTCTTTGTTATTTTCCCCGTCATTTCTTTCCAGTTAATTTTTCTTATTAAGTCGCTTCTATTTTTCTCTCTTTGTCCACTTCCTCATAAGGATGTTGTTTGATAGAGGTTGATGAACAGGTTTTATTTTTTTCAATTTTATTTTCTTATGTCTCCCTATGCATATTCTTTTATTTATGTATTTCTTTTCTTATATTTATGAAAGAATTCGTAATAATCTACGTTCTTTGTGTGTGTCAATGTCCATGCAAAAGTCCTACTCAATTAAATATGTGTCATTGACAGCGCTTTTGTTACTGCTAATATTTTATTATCCTTTATCAACTGAATAAAGTTGTTTTGTATTCTTTGTCCTCGAAAAGCCAGGCTATTAAATGAGTTTTCTTGAATTAGTGAATTTAGAAATCCAGGATGTTGGTTCCGTCCTATGTAGAACTTGTTAAATCGAATTTAAATGGTACATATCAGCAGTGGAGTAATCTCAGTCAGTCAGTCAGCTACAACGTAGGACCAGGCACATATGTGCATCGGTCCAGGTTGCCATACCTCATTAGCACAGCAAGATGAACACCGGATTCATAGGAGTGGTTAGGTCAAAGGTTGCAATAAGGAGTAATCTAAACGCTGATTAATAATAATTTAAACAATATACTCATTGGAAAAGTTAGTAATAATATGAACTCAGTAGTTCAATGGGTAACTCGTCGGCATTTGAAGCCAATGGTACTGAGTTTCAGTCTGAACATGAACATGTCTACTTGTTTTTTTAAACAAACAAAACAGAAAAGAGTACATCATATGTTTTCATTTTAAAATATGTTCAATTTTCGACATTCAAGGAATTTGAAATCTAAAGTTACTTATTATTATTGTTATTATTATTATTATTATAATTATTACTACTCATATAGAGTAAACAAACTTTTGTACGGTATCAGTCAGTTAGATGGAATAACGTCTAACTCCCAGATCTTAGCTAAAATATTAGTCGACCTAATCGCTAAAATTGGACCACCATCCTTAAAGACCTCTGGAGCCAACCCATCTGCACCAACTGCCCTTCCTCGTTTCCGATTAACTATAGCCTTTTGAACTTCTGATAAAGTTGGGGGACCTACTTCAATGTTCCATTCATACTGTCTGGCAATGGAGGATAGTTGTAGAGTAGCTGAAGGCCAGCTGAACTGTTCTCTGAAATGTTCCGCCCATCGTTCTAAACGTTTGGATTGGGAGCAGATGTAATGAAGTTATAAGCAATGATGGATAGTGACTAGCAGTGGAATCCAAGATACGCGTTTCGTCCTGTTTCGGACTCATCAACTGGATGTAACATCTCAGAGTTGATGTTCATCTTTCCTTATAATGCTTGTGACTTAAGGCAATATCGAGGCAATCCGCACAGGATGTACATATGCTAATAAGAGACTGATCAGTTGTAGTCCTAAACATCAATGAGAAGATTCAAATCAGAAATGAATTGTCATGAAGTTATTTAAAATTTTGACAAATTTTTTATATCTACAATCTTTCGGAATTAACAAAACAAAACTTGTATAACCTAACTGTAATTGAAAGAGTCAAATTATCTATCAACTCAAATCAGATGTCTTCTAATATAACCATACTTTTGATTAATCACTAAGTCATATCTTACTTGTCTAATGCTGATCGAATTCTATCAATAAAGTTACAATATGAAAACAAATCTAACCGATTTGGCTAACATGACATTGGTCACTATTCAGTGACTAGTCAATTATAAAATTACATTACATTATAAAAATGTACATTTGTAATTTTTATTTGAAACCACCTATTTTCTAAATATCAAGATCTTATCAATGATACAAGCAAATGAACTGATGCAATTTATTACCACAACTAATGATGAATGTGAAAAAAAAGATTTGCATCTAATTGAAATAAGAGGTCACAATCAATATAGGTCTGAGGTTTTCTGACGACTGCCTCCAACCATCTTACATCTCAATACAGTGTACGTAATATCGGATTACTTAGATAATTAGGGGTCACATTTCAACTTTTTGGTCGATGGAATTCCTTAACTATTAAGCAGAACTAAACAAATGTGGCATTGGTGACTGTTTTTTTGGCACAAAATTAGTTCAATTAGTTTAGTAGTAGCTTTTTTCCATCGTATTCCTTAATAAATCATAAAATATAGTGTTTTGTCCAAGGTATGTTTATCATCGTTCCGCTTTCAAGTTCGCAAGGGTGGGATAGCGGTGGTTTTAGTCTTTACTTAAAACATAAATTCAACACTATATATATATAACGAAGTCTAAAGCCACCGCGCGTTTTCCATTTTCATGGCCCATATTTCACATTTCGAGTGACAAGCAGTGGCCCTTCATCTTAGTTGGTAGATCGATATTTCGCATACGCCACAGACGATCCAAGTTGATAAGAACTAACTGAATTTTCTGAAAATATCCTGAGATTATGTCTGACACCATCTCACTAGTAGTGATTTTTCCCTGGGCTGATGTGAAAACTCTAAATGCGAAAAATTTGAAATGGCTTTTGATTTTCACTAGCCAAATTACTAACGTGAACACAGTAAAACTTTGATTATAACGAAAATGCACCATTCATATATATATATATTCTTTGGTCCCGTTTTATCTACTTGTCACTGTTATTTTTAAAAATAACGTACGTTTATATTTCATTGCCTAATTTCAAACTTATTTCCTAATCTCATTGTTCGCTATATTTAACCGATTATTTTAAGTTAAGCTATTCTTTCACAATTCAAATTAACAAGTGATATTTAGTACCCGTCTCATCCCAGTTTTATTATATGATATGTATGTATATCCCGGTTACTTCGTATACACTTTGTCAATAAATCACTTTAGGGGACAGCATTCTGAACTTTCAATCTGTTGGCTTAATGCACAAAACGGTGGAACAACGTAAGAAGGTACCGTCCCAGGGCAGCTGGTGGTTCATACCTCGTTCGTTCCCTCAGGATCTAGAAGTCCATGTACAACATTGGTTTGAAGTTAGGGTCTTTTTTAACTGCGCCTTCCGTATCCACCATCCTAGTTTAAACCCTGAACGTTCACTTTCCATCCTCTCACTTTCGTAAGCAACACCTCATAAAGATGGCTGATATGACCTCTTTGTAAGAGTTTATGAACGTATGGCTATAAGAGAGCATTTTTAGAGATAGAGGACTCCATTTACCCTCGATCGTACCACAATATTTGGGAACCAGCAATTAGATCATCGACACAGGTTTGAAAATTGTTGTTCTTCATTGGAAAGCCGACAAACAATACAGTTAAAAGTTCTTTTTTACACTAATGCATTTAGAAATTTATTTCACCATCCGGAATGAAGTTTATTTATATACTTTAGTAAGTACTTGATCATCCCACTACAAAATGGTCATCATTCTAAATATTTTAACCCTGAGCAATGATTTTTATATGCAACCAGGTAATATTGTTCAACTTTATATAACTATCTCTTTGTATTATGTAACAGGTATTATGTATTTACAATTGAACACACAATTCATTGTCTTCTGATTTTTTCTTTCCAGGAAGTGAATTATTAACTATCGTAAATCTCATAGTTTACGTCACGAATTTTTCTTAAATAACCATTACAAAATAAGAAGCACTAGATATGTTTCTTTCTAGGATGTGTCTCCCCAGAAATGCATAGACATGACCTTGACGGGGATCGTAACCGGGACCTTCAGGTCTTTCAACATGCGCTTAACTTTTGGAATTGCTGAGTTGGTATCAAATGATTTGCACTTCTAAGTTCCATCAACTTGGCGTATTTTGCGACCGTAAATTCTTCAAACTTTCAGATTTCAGAAAAATAAACTTTCAGACTGCTGTCTACCAACTGAAGGATGATGATAAAACGTGAAATTTAAGCTTAGAAGAGCCACCTACTTTCTCATCATTTAAATGGTGGATGCTTATCGAAACGAGACAAATCATCTCATGTCTCAGGGCTATATGTGAGTAGTGTGTTTTTTCTATCCAAAGTCATTTCCCACATGACCTTGTCGGTGTCAGCCTGAACATCTATAAATATGCGTCAGTTATAATGGTAGTTTTACGCAGCTTTTGACAGTGGTAGCATTAGTAGTAGTATTCATAACCTTACCTTTACGATGGGTCGTAATTCTTATACTACGCACCTCTACTGAGATCTACCAAGTATAGCTTATTGTTAGCGTGCCATTACTAATTTCTCATCTTTATTTTTATTTTTTTATCAGTTTTGGAATTCTGGTACAACAGCTACAATATGTGCATTTGCTGGTGATACTATATGTACAGCTTGGGTCGGTGATTCACAAGCTTGGCTTATTTTTCCATATACAAATGATATTAATGATGATGGTATTATTAATCATAATAATATATTAAAAAGTAATTTTAATTGTTGCAATAGTAGCGTACAAGAGAATAAAAACAATGATCGTACTACTAATACTATTAGTAGTAGTAGTTTTTATGAGTCACCGGAAAGAATGTCTGTATTAATGGAAATCCCGTCATCGGATAAAAATCTCATTGATAATAATAATACACGTGTTATCAAGTCGACATCGTTGAATATTATGCCTGATCGTTTATCATCATCATTATGTAATGGAAGTATGCCTACTAGTCAAAGTGCTTCAATCATCGAGAAGCGTCATCATCAAAAACAAAATACTCCACAGTCGGCAATTGAAGTGAAACATTTCACTGAAGACTCTTTCTCATTATTAATGGATCAGGAGAATTCCATGCATAATAACAGTAATAATAATGATGAAATGGATATAAATGAATATTTAGGCATTGCATTAACTGATTGTCTACATCGCCCGGAATCACCTGTAAGTCGAACTGAAATTAAATGAATAAATTTTTACACTATTGGTTCAATATTTTCTTTCAGTCAAGTAAATACTGTATACTGTAGTCCGTTTTTTGTTCCTTTTCCAAAAAAGAATGTTTCCGTTAATTCTCTGTCGAATATATCAGTTCACTAAACACTTATTTTTCTTATATTTTAAGTAGACTGATAATGTCATATAAGATGACTTACTTACTTACACCTGTTACTCCTAATGGAGCATAGGCCGCAGACCAGCATTCTCCAACCCACTCTGTCCTCAGCCTTCTTTTCTAGCTCCATCCAATTCTTGTTCATTTTTCTCATGTCTATTTCCATTTCTCGGCGTAATGTGTTCTTTGGTCTTCCTCTTTTCCTTTGACCTTGAGGATTCCATGTGAGGGCTTGCCTTGTGATGCAGTTAGGTGCTTTCCTCATTGTGTGTCTTATCCACTTCCAGCTCTTCTTCCTGATTTCTTCCTCCGCTGGGATCTGGTTTGTTCTCTCCCACAGTTGGTCGTTGCTAATAGTGTCCGGCCAACGGATCTGAAGTATTTTGCGTAGACAACTGTTAATAAACACCTGTATTTTCTGAATGATGGCTTTCGTAGTTCTCCAGGTTTCCGCCCCATACAGTAGAACTGTCTTGACATTTGTATTGAAAATCCTGACCTGGAATCCCTCCGGGGGCTACTGCCGGTCCCAAGCCCGGATAAAGGAGGAGGGTTGGGCATGGGGTTAGCGTCGCCATCCCGTAGAAAACTAACTCGCTAAAAAAACACTAACCAGAAAAATATGTAAGATGACTACGATAGCTTAAATATAAATCATTCAATCTATAAAGTCTAAAACCCTCTCCAAATGTATCCATTTTAGCTACGAATTTTTCCTTATAGTTTCAAAACACTTATTATTGGACTTCACAATTATATATATATATATATATATATACCCTCAGTTGATAGTCAGTATTATACAAAAAAATGATATGTCACAAGTTCATTTTAAATATCTGTCTCCGAACTTGATTTATTGAGTATTATATTTATTTTAGCTGGATCAATGCAACTAAAGAGGGACTGCTATTCCCTCATTCAGAGTCGTTATCAATGATTCATTTACTTAGGCTCCTATCACCAATTTGTAGAACTTAATTTCATGTTCCGTTAGGTCACCAGGTAAAAGTGTACACCATAATCTCTACACCTCAACAATAATTGTATCGTGTTTATCAAATATTTGTTAAATATTCCAATCTATTGTTTATTCTCAGTTTTAATCACGATCTGATTTTAGACAGATCATCACTAAAAACGAGGAAGCACTGGATATCTTTTTCGTCTTAGTACAGGGTTCCTCAGCAGATCCTATCCAGGACTCCACTGGGATTAGAGCTCACGACCCTCGGTCTCTCGCGTCAGTGCTTAACCTCTAGACCACTGAGCTCACAATCAATGGTTTACATGTCTAATCTCACGATATTGAGCGACTATCTTCCGTTGCCTGACATTGATAAGCGTCTCACTCGAAATGGTTGAACTCTGCTGATCGCGGCTTATTTGAAAACTCACTAAAGTGTGAACACCTTCTCCTCCTTTTTCAGAGTAAAAGTCACTTTTTTATGTAGGGTTGATGTTGAATTTAATGTAAGATATTTTGCGAATCAAAAAGCTCATAAAATACTTATATCAGAAAAATATTTTCCAACATCATTGTCATCTTAATTTTTTTCTAAGAGATATTAATGAAACTACAAATTTATTAGATACTCTAATTTGACTCATGAATTCGTTCAGTCAGAGGACAATTCATTTATAGCTATCCTGTATAATGTGATACTATTTGAAACTAGTATTTTAGAAACTGTCAAAAGGGCCTAGTTGTTTATCTACAGTTTTCTTTCCATGGAACATTTCTATTACAATTGGTGAATTGATGATACAAGGAGTATTTTGAGACATGAAGTAATTTTCTTTCACTGAATCTAAAAAGTACTCTCAACTGATAACCGGTTTTGATCGTGGTCGTACGAGCAGTTTCATGTTTTGAACCGCTTTCATACGATTGTCAAAGAAAGGGTTAATGGACTTCATGAAGTCACTTGGTAACAATGATATAAACATTATACCCTTTGACCAAGTCAGTGGCTATCTGGGCATCGTAGTTCAATAAATAACGCTTTAGCGTTTGGAGAGAAAGGTAGTGAGAACACTAACACTAGGAGTGCAATCCATCCTCAACAAAGAAACCTTAACAATTTATATTTTTAGAAATATATTGCTTTAATTATATCATATTAGTAATCATGGGAATCGTCCTGCGTCTTTACAGTATTCGAACTTATTAGATGGACTAATTGTTTTAAATTGAAGTTGATATTGAAAGATCTGAAAATTCGGCTTTTTGTTTACTATGTTTCTGTCTTAAATAATTTTTTTATTTTTCCTTTATAGTCCGAATTCGTTTCTATCCTACGAACTGGCGGTTCAATATTAACTGAAGTTGGCTCTGAAAATAGTTCATCTGTGGAGAATAAAATTTTCTATTCACATTCACCTAAAGATTCTATGATCAATTTAGCTGTAACTCGTGGTGTCAAAGAAAATACACCTAATAATAATTGTTTTAGTAAATGTATTTCCATACCACCTCTTGATAATCCAAGTTTAGTCGATTGTAGAGTTGGATGTTTATCGTCGGTAAGTCGATCAATTGGTGATGATGAAACAGCGGTTGGCTTGAACGCCTTACCATCCATAACAATTTGGTCAGCAGCTAAACAACAACAATCAACGCATCATCGTAATAAGACAACAACAACAACATCAATGCCTTTATGCTTGATTATGGCAAGTGATGGTCTATGGGATGTACCTTGTTGTTCTGGTCCAGAGATTTCACTAATGGCATGGCATTGGTATAAAGAGCATATTTATCATAAAAAGGAATGTAAAAATCACCATTCATTTTCTGAATTCTTAGTTAATTTAGCTGTGCAAAATGGTGCATCAGATAATATAACATGTAGTGTAATTTGGTTACATAAATGGAAACCAACAAAATTAAAAGGTTGGACTGTTGACTGTCAATCATTAGCATCATCTAGTCTGGTTAGATGGCCTAGACATTCACGGGTTACTTCACTAGTCAATGTAAATTCCCCTACTGATATTTTCTTAAGAGGTCCACGAAAATGTATACCATCTAAAATGCCTCAGTTTGTTTCTCAACGATCTTATTCATTAAATAATATATTTGATAATGATTTATCAACTCCACGTTATTCCAGTCCTCCACGTGATCTTGTATATCATCAACCTGATTGTATATCTTCAGACTAAATCAACTAACTGTTATTATTTTGTACAAATTGTATGTTTGTGTATTCATGTTATTCTTCTTCTTCTTCTTCTTCCAAAGTCTACTTTGTTTTCTTAATATTTCTTATGAATAAAACTTAATTTTTAACCATTTCGTATCCAATTGACTAATAATAATCATAACAACAATAACATATATCTACTGCATAAATCATTATACTACTGATTTATGACACTATCAAGTTAATGATATAACTGTGTGCAAAATAGCGTTTGCATTTGGGGTAAAAATTGTTCTTGTTTTTTTTTTATTACTAACTTTCAAAGGTCAATTTCCGGTTTCTTATTAACGTTTTTTTCTTCTTCAAAAATATTAATGTATTCATAGCAATTTGTTTATTATTGTATTGTTCATTTTGTACTTTTTCGGAAAACAACAAAAAAAGTTTAATTCATCAATTTAGTTGTTGCCCTTTTTGTTGTTGTTGTTGGTGGTGGTGGTGTTGTCGTTGTTTATAGAAGGAGTATGTGTTACCTTGTTCATATGTTTATGTGAACACTAATTAAGTTGTCCGCATTCATAATACTACTGTTATTAATATTTATAATAATAGTGATAATTATAATTATTAGTATGTATTATACACAAAATAGTGTTATTTATATTGTTTGTTCCTTGTTGCTGTTGTTGTTGTTGTACGGTATAGAAAAGTCATTGGGAAGAAGAACGAATTATAGTCTTTCTACTGGTTTTCTATTTTGTGTGTATGATGGATAACTTACTCTTTCCTTTTTGGTTTTCTTGAGTTTATCAATCAATGTTGGGCGGTTGTTTTTTTTTTGTTTTTCTTTTTAAAAATATACTTCTATTTAGAAGATCTCAAACTATATAGTCGTTTTTTTTTAAAAATAAAATGACAGTTTGGATACACAAAGAGGTTGTTGATAATTGTTTTTGAATTTATGAACTTTTATTATTATTATCTGTTTAGTTGCCATCACTTTTAGTTTGTATGTATTTTAAGATCATATATGATACAAAAATGAATAGATTTATTCTTTAAGAATTCTGACTTTTTTTTGTTTGAATATAAAGCTTTTTTTAATGAACTTTTAGTTTCTTTCTTATCATATTGAAGATTATTGTTGATGTACTGTTTTTTTTTGTATTAGTCTTCCGATCTATTGAGCTTACATAAATTCTCTTTCTTGTTGGAAAAATCTCTATAAGATTTGTTGCCAGATTCACATAGTTGAATAATATCTAGTTATAAAGTTTGGAGTGCGCCAAAGTTCATTAATTGCGTGTGGGCTGCATTACTGCCCGGGTGCCCAGACCGAAGCAGGTGATTCTCTTAGGGGGCCACACCCCGAGGTCTAACCCACAAGGCAGTGGAGCATCGTAAGGAGATGCAGTCCCATGGTAGCCGGTGACCGAAAATTGGTTCATACGCCATTTGTTCCCGCAGGATACTGGTGCCCATGTGCACCATTGGTTTGGAATCCGGTTAAAGCGCCGGACATTCGCTTTTCGTCCTCTCATTTTTGTAAACAACACCCCCGCCACGAGAAGGCAGTGAGTAGGACTTCCCTGGCAGAGGCTGTATACGCGCGGCCGTGTGAGAGTATTTCGAGAGGGAGGGCGAACCCACCCCGCTCTCGGCCATACCAGGGCGTTTGGGGGCTATAATTAATTGTGAAAAGATTACTTATAAACAATAGTTTGTTTAATATAGTACATCTTGTTGTATGAATTCGAGAGATCTTAGCATGGTTGGGTTACTTGATGATCATGAAGTCAAAATACTTTTTAGGTTTTCTGGATTAATTTATAGTTTGTACATAATTTTATGAACTTAACACGGTTTCTACGTCGTTATTTTTTTTAGTAGAATTATTGTGTAGGAAGACTGCTGGTCACATAATTCTTTTGAAGTGATTGTTTAGTTGTAAAGTATTATTTTCAGGCTACTATGGATTCTTTCAATATTGTATGTGTGTTAATTATACTGTTTGTTTATATGAGCTGTTTGATGTATTAGTGCAAAACATTCCGGGCAGTCTAATCATACAAATGCACACTTGTTAAAAGCATTTGAATATGTAAAATAAAAGGTCAACTAGACATATTGAAGGATAAGAGAAAAATGAAAATAATAAAAAAAACAATGTGAAACTTGGCACGCTAGATAATAAATCAATATTACCAGGGTAGGTTCAAGGCGATAACAAACTGTTTTTAAACACATAAAGGGAGTTTCAACTTCCGTATGATCAAGGCTTCAATTAACAGTATACGGCCCTGAACACATACAACACTACAATGGCTGATTCCCTATTGTCCCTATGACCCATCTCAACCGAGTGATCCGTGATGAAGAAATTTGTCTATCATGTGCTCTCATTTAACCATTGAGATTCGTTTATTTTTGTAACCAACTAGGTGTTCCTTACAGCCATACAAGTTGGTGAGGCTGTTTGACTTTTCTACATTCCCTCATAGAAGACATGGTACGGCTCCTGGGCCACGATAGCTTTCCCTTTTTTGTGTTCTTGGTTTTCCTTGTCTAGTTGTTCCCAATCATCTGTATACCACAAAGGAGTGATGTATCACCTTTTTTCTGCTGGTAGTATTGTCATCCATCCGTTGTAGAGGGATTTGTGTATGTTATGCTTGTTGACATTATGGTTTGAGAGGTTATCTCTATTGGTTATGAGAGGGTTTGTTCTTGTTGACAGTACACTACATAATAGGCGGAGATGGTTGATGGTTATCAGGGTGCGCATTTCGTCTTAGTTAGGACTCATGAATCAAATGTACCTGCATCCCAGAGTTGATGTTCACTGTAGAATTCCAACCCAGTACCGTTCGCTTCAAATGCCTTCGCGTTACATCACGTAGTTCTGATAAACTTCTCATTGTATTATTCACATTTATCAAAAGAACTGTTTTAAATTTTTGATACTAAGATTCCCTGAACGCACTATTAGGTTAGATGAACCTGTTAACCGTAAATGTAAAATTGTATCGGAGTGAAACTGGTTTTTTCTAAATCTTGTTTGATAAGTCACACTGATTAAGTAATGATAACTAACATTGTATTTCTGTAAGCCGTGGCTAAGCCTTCATAACTGCCCAGAATCCATAAAGATCCCTCAATGAAGTCTCTGGAAGCTGAGAACTAATCTGAAAGCGTATCGAAGCAGTATTCAATAGATGCTTTATAGGAACACCTAGAAAAGTCAAGGGTTATGTATAATGTTTTAATTGAATAATCACTCTTTTTATTACCATATTCGGCGTGTTTGCAGAGGTTTCTAGAAGATCAATATTATCTGAAAACTTATAAATGCACTTGACTTTTTGTACATAGAGTAAACTTAGAATCAAGCTTTCGCTCATATTTTGCGCTTTTCTTCCATTGTTCGAGTTGAAGTGTAGTCTGGTGTTGTACGAAGTGGCTAGCGATTCATTAGCAAAAATTAAAGCTAGCTGTTTTTACAATAACATATTTCTAAATCAGTCTGTTGTACTTTATTTTGATCATGTGTTAATATAAATGAATATTTGAATCCTCTCTCGGTTTTATTTATAATATACGACATTGGGAAAAACAAAGAAAACCTATTAAAAAATTCATGAAACTAAATGTTTGTAGTAGATAGAATTATGTTCATTCTTTAGTAATTTGTTTTTAGTTGGGGAACGATTGTAAACAAAATGATACATCAACTCTGCAAAAAAAGATTCTGATCGATATATTTTCTCAGTTGAATTCACAAGTCAATGTAAGCTAGACCACCATTGAAAACCTGGAAACATTTGACGGCCATTTTGTCCTATTGTGAGACTCAGCATTGCGCACCCACGATCCCCATGTGGGATTCGCGTAACCTGTTGACCACTGAGCTGGCATCCAACGTTGTTAATGTCCAGCTTCAATTGCCCCATGACCTTGGTCCACACTTCATTTATTGTCTGAGGAGCATCCGACACGGATCGGACTCCATTAGTTACGGCTTCTCACTAGAACTCCAGGAGATCCATCTCGAGACTAGTCATTAGTGAGCACATGATTACTACCAGTATGGGGATTTGTGGAGATCGTACTATTTTCACAGATGAATTCCCGATTTGAGTCCCGTTTAAAGGATCATGGGTGTGCACTGCTGAGTTGTCCAATACTAGGTCGAAAAGCCCTTCAGTGCTTCCAGGTTTTCACTGGTGGTCTATCTTAGATCGAATCGTGAATTCAACTGTGAAAATACTAGAATCTCCACAAATCCCAATACTGATAATCGATATATAATGTAAAGTACTTGTATGCCATAAATAAACTACGCAACAGTTGATACAAATTATAAAACAATCATTAAGCAGTTAGTTCCTCTGTTAAACTTTTAGACAGTTTAATGAGAAAACAAAGATCTTAAAAACTCAGTGATATATTAGCATAGTACATTTCGAACAATATGATCATGCATAAACTTGTTAAGATGGGAATAAAGCTACCCTGGTAGTATTAGTTTATTATTCAACATGTTGAGTTTCACAATGTTCCTCGCATGATTCCCCTGTATAATCTTTGTTTCCTCCTATTTTCCATTTGTCTAGTTAACCTTTTAATTTTTCATAGATAAATGTTCTTAACAAGTATATATTTGAGCAAATTGTTCGAAATGTATTATGCTAATATATCACATAGTGTACAATCGTAATTATTTTTAATAGTTGAATTCATGAATCAATTAAAGCTAGATCACCATGAAAAAAAACCCTAGTAGCATTGGATGGTCGTTTCGTCCCAATATAGGACTCCTCAGCATTGCACATTCTGATTATAATTGTAATTATGTTGATTTGTTTTCTTTTTTCTACTTTTGAAGAAACAAAATTACAAATTTTAAAAAAAAACCATGAAAATAAAAATAATTTTAATAACAAATATCCTTTATGAATTTGTATTCATAATTAGTCCAAACAGTCCAAATATTGTAATCTAATTATAAAGTCAGTAATCAGTTTCATTGAATGGATCCATTTACAGAAATGGCTTATTTATTATTATTTTTTTATAGGACTAATTCAATGAACTGAGAATAGAAATGGGAAAAAAATAACAGAATTTTTTCGGAAATAATAAATCTTTCTTTTTTTGTAATTTTTTTTTGGCTTTTGAAAGGATCATTAAACAACTTAAGGTCACATTTGATCATGTGATCTAATTAATCAAGCGTAAAAATTAGAATATTTCTTAAATGAAATGAAATTTCCTTTCATTAATTATTTTGTTGACTTTGTGTCCTTAGAACAAATTCAATTATCAATTATTATGTTACACAGATACTAAACTACCTGGTTGGGATGCACTGACTATCATAACCAATGGTTGGAGACTCGTGGTGACATGTCTCAGAATCGATCACAATGGCGTCGGTGTATACACTCTCTGTCTTCCCTT